GGGCGCTAATGCTTTATGGGCGCGAGTTGGAGTTGTGCGACCACTTTCCACCTCCATCTGGCCGCGTTCACGGAATAATGGCAACAACTTCATTTGGAATTTCTTTGAAACTCTAGCTCTCAATTTAAAATTAATGAATACGATACAATCATATGATAAAAGCTTTAACTAACTATGCGTATTTTTTATTTATATATTCTTTCAGCTACAAGGGCATCATTTACATATAGACACAAAAAGAGTACATATGGTTTATATACATCAAACACATACACATACATGTATATATAGAAGATTATATATATACAAATACGCTCACCACAACACCACATACTTTGTATGTATAAGGGGGGGGGGGGGGGGGGGGGGGGGGGGGGGGGGGGGGGACCCCCCCCCCAATGTATGTTTACATATAGTGTATGTGTATACGTATCTACATATATCTACATATGTGCAAAGAGCACTATATACGTATGATTGTGTGTTATGAAGTCTGTATAAATATATTAAACCTATATATGTGTGTGTGTCTACATAAATATAAGTGTGTGAAAAGATTATATGTACATATATATTTGTGTATCTGTATATAATATATATAATAATGACATACATATATATCCTTATACATGTCAAGTATTTCCTACATGGGTAATTGACATAAACTACCCATTGATTTATTTGTTCATGTGATCCTAACAACTAACCTGTAATGCTTTTAAACGTACATGTCTCCTAAAAGAGTTATTCAATGCTGTGTCTTGTACATGAAGCGCTCGGTAGACCAATATTAGTTATTAGTTTTTTTTTTTTTTTTTTTTTTTTTTCAAGAATCATGGAAGCACAGGTCACAAATAGTGAACCCTCTTTGCATTTGGCACTTCCACCTTTTCTTCAAGAGTTTCAAAGAACCATCTGTTATGCAATTTAAGCGACAATAGATTTTCTTTTTTTTTCGATAAGTTCGCGAAAAAGGAAGGCAAGTGAAGTCATATACACATGTAAACAAGTATAATTCATTTTGAAAATAGCAAAAGCTTTATTCATTTTAACATTATCCTACAGAAAAATATATTATTACTTAAACGTACATTTAAAATTAGATTACAATTTCAGATATGGAATATGATTTCCTATGCTGCCTGTGGAATCTTCGGAGCCGTGACAGTTAAGATGCCATCGGAAGACTATTGCAGGAAGTCACGGTCCTCCATAGTTCACTTTGCCTGGAAGTTGAAACGTCGATAGATGCTTTTCACTGGACTTGAAGTCGTCCTCTTCCTTTTCCACTCGACCTTCCACCACCACCTGATTGTCTTCCACTCTAACCTTAACGTCTCCACTCTTGAAGTCATGAACATCCAGCACAACCTGTATATAGAATCAATGAGGAGTATTTGTTTTCCCTTGTTTTTCTTTTCATTTTCATTTAAATAATGTCCGTGACCTAGATAATTTCTGAAAAAATCCTTACCGTCAATTTGATTTTTTTTAACGATTGTTTCTTCTATTTATGTATATGATTATTAGAATTGGTATTTTGCGATCTGCATTGTTTTTAAGATACTTAAGCTAACCTTGTGATTCTGGTCGTCTTCGCTGAAGGCCATGACTTGGTTCTCTTGCTGCAAATTACGCTCTTTTACACGTCTGTAGCTACTCATCAGATCACTCACGGATTTCCCTTCTTCCCATGTATCCAGAATTTGGTCGATGGCTGTCTCAAAGTGCTTCCGAATATCCTCGAAGAAGGAATCATGGAAGAAAAGTCCCTTCTCAACGATGGGGAGAAGTGAATCCTCTTTGGGAGATTCTGCTTGCTGTTCATTAAGAGTGCTAGTATTTTTGTTCTCCATATTTCTCTTGCTTTTATCACTTTAATAAAGGAGAGTACGTCTTGTGGAAATGTAGATAAAGCTACAGCTTGCTCTGTTCTCTCAGAGTGTAGTTTATATTGTGTCTAGCAAGAGGCGGCTGCTAATGCTTTTATGTGGCGCGAGTTGGGTGTGCGCCCACTTTCCACCTCCATCTAGGACGCGTCACGGAATACTTGGCAACAACTTCATTTGGAATTTCTTGAAACTTCTAGCTCTCAATTTAAAATTAATGCATACGATACAATCATATGATTAAAGCTTTATTACTAACTATGCGTATTTTTATTTATATATTCTTTCAGCTACAGGGGCATCATTTACATACAGACACAAAAAGATGTACATATTGTTTATATACATCAAACACATACACATACATGTATATATAGAGATATATCATACAAATACGCTCACACATACACACATACTTTGTATGTATAAGGACAATGTATGTTTACATATAGTGTATGTTTATCTGTATCTACATATATCTACATATGTGCAAAGAGACTATATACGTATGATTGTGTGTGTATGAATGTCTGTATACATATATATACATATATATGTGTGTGTGTGTGAGTGTACTTATACACATACACGTATATGTTTTCATATATTTATATACACAAACACAAACACGCATATAAATATATACAGCAGAGTGTTCACCACACACATATATGTATATATTATATACATGTGTGTATATGTAACATATATATATGTGTGTCTGTGTGTATATAAATGCATATAAACATATACAAATATATGTTTGTATATACACATGTATATAATGTATGCAGAGATGTGCATGTGTGTGCGTATACATATATATATATGTATGTATATATATGGATGTATGTCTATTTACATATATATCTACTTAGTATATCTTCCTGTGCCCATATCATTTCATATATTTCCTGCAAAATTAATAGCTACCATGTACATTTTGCCTCGGAAATATACAAAAAACAGTAATTTGATTAATTGCTCATATAAACCTGACAACTAACTCTTTAATACGTTATCATTTGTTATTTCTTAAAGGGTCACACAGAGCGCTTGGTAGACGAGTGTTCCATTTTGATTGATATTGAAAAATAATCATAGAATCACAGGTCAAAGCAATCGGAAGAAGTGAACTCTCTTTCCATTTGGTACTTTATTTTTTTCTGAAAGTTTCGAGGGAATATCTGTTAAGAAAGCCATTCAACAATAACAATCGAAAAGGAAGGCAAAAAAAAGTTTTTTTTTACTTCATTACAATATCATCTAAAACAACGATAAACAATCACTTTAACATTCATTGCCTTTAAAATTAGATTATAATTTCAGCTAATGAAATGCTTTTTCATACTGAAATCATATATATGACCATCATTTATATATGTAAAGACACACACAATAAATATACATGTGTACAGATAACTATAAATGCAAACACACACACACACCTGTGTGTGTGTGTGTGTATGTGTGTGTGTATGTATGTATATAAATACATTTTTTATTTATATATATGTGTATGTATGCATGTATATATATGTATATATATATACATATGTGTATGTATGCATGTATATATATACATATGTGTATGTATCCGTATGAATATATATACAAATATAATTATAGCATAACACATATATAATTGTAAATTGACATATATATACATAATTATAACATGACATATATATATATAATTATAAAATATATATATAATTATAACATATATATATATATATATATGTATATATATATATATAATTATAACACATCTTCAGTAGCAAGCATCCAGTGACTAGCTATTTATTTATCCATGATGACTGAAATGATCGGATATCAAGCTTTGCTTTTTCGCTGTAGCCATGACGAAAATAATTAGAGTGTCACTCATGGCGACTAGTCACTGAAACAGCAGTGCTGCATTACTGAGGCGGCACCAACGCTTGGGTATGTCTCATACTCGTCTAAATCTCGTTGTACCCAAACTTACCTTATCGCGGCTACGAAACATTTTCGTTTTGATTCATTATATAATTATCTCTCTCTTTCTCTGTTATTCTGTTGTTTATTTTTTCTTTATTCCTTCGAATCACGCGGTGTGCTATAGCCAAGCATTGTGTGCGACAAGTCTGGTTCGCGAGCCAGAGGTTGCCGACCCCTGAATTAAACCATTAACCATGGAAGCACAGGTATAGCACATTCAATAGTTTAAACCGTTAACCATATAAGAGCAGATTGCAGTAAGTAAATCCTCTTTGCATTTGGAACGCATTTTTTCAAGAGTTTTAATGAACTATCTGTTATGAAATCAACAGTAAGCAACGATGGTGATTATGCATGTATATATAAATAAAATTTACTAAAAAGAATCAATTAATAAACTCAATTTATACATTATGCACATCAATAATAAATAGTTAAACACATACTGTCTTTTTATTTAGATTATTTTTTTATGCTGCCTGTGGAATCTTCGGAGCCTTTATAGCCAAAACGCCATCAGAAGACATTGCAGAAGTCACGCCCTCCATATCCACTTTGCCTGGGAAGTTAAAGCGTCGACAGAAGCCTTTCATGGACTTAAAGTTGCCGTCTTCCTTTTCCAGTCGACCTTCCACCACCACCTGATTGGTGTTCCATACGTAACTCGGCCTTTTGCAGAAGGTTCTTTCCCAAACAACCTTTAGTTAAGTAGTCTTGCCACTTACGTGTTGTCCGTACCATTTCCTTATCTAGCATGAAATCTCTAGTTGCAAGTTTTGAAAACCATTTAGTACAAAGTGGATGGTAACAGGTTCATTGTCGTATAGATTCGATACCAGGTGGTTATCCAAAGTTCTTAGACAAGGGAATATACTTACGAATATGGCGTAAAGACTAACGATGTAGTTGCCAAATTCTTCCGACTGCTGTGACTTTCTTCCACAATCGCTCTCTCTATATGACATCTTATTTTTTTATTTTTCATTATTGGTGATATCTTTGAAACAGGATGAAGTACAAACATTCACACCATCGTTTAAATAAAACAAATATATAAATATATTTAGGTAAAATAGAATAGAAATGTTCAGATTTGGTGGAAATATACTTACAAGAGAGATAGTCGGAAACTAGAATGTTCAAGATTATGAAGATTGTTCCCAAGTACGCCCGACTCGCGTGCCCAAATGCAGACGGAAAGTGGGCGCTCACCCAACTCCCGCCACATAAAAGCATCGGTACCTGCCTCTCGCTAGTCACAACGGAAACACAAATATTTCTGTAAACAGACTGCAGTTTCCTATCTACAATACTGCCTCTAGCAATACTTCTCTGAAAATCAATATGTCCAAGATGGAGAATCAAAATACTGCCTCTCTTGAAGCTCCTAACTGCAAAGAGAATTCAGTTCTCCCCATCGCTGAGAAGGGGCTTTTCTTCCATGATTCGTTTTTCGAGGATATTCGGAAGCACTTTGAGACAGCCATCGACCAAATCCTTGATACGTGGGGAGAAGCCAAATCCGTGAGTGATCTCATGAGTAGCTTCACACGTGTAAGAGAGCGTAATTTGCAGCAGGAGAACCAAGTCATGGCTTTCAGCGAAGACGACCAGAATCATAAGGTTAGATGATTAAATTATTGTAATTTGCGTTAGTATTACTCTTTAAGAATAATCTGGATCACGCAGACGGCTTATTAAAACAAATATAAATTTTTAAATGAAAGGGAACGTACTAGAAAAAATATCATAAATTGATTCTATATACAGGTTGTACTGGATGTCCATGACTTCAAGAGTGGAGACATGAAGGTTAGAGTGGAAGACAATCAGGTGGTGGTGGAGGGTCGAGTGGAAAAGGAAGAGGGCGACTTCAAGTCCATGAAAAGCTTCTGTCGACGTTTCAACTTCCCAGGCAAAGTGAACATGGAGGCCGTGACTTCCGCAATGTCTTCCGATGGCGTCTTGACTATCACGGCTCCTAAGGTCGCAGAGGAATCTTAAACAGGAACATATATTTTGTAAATGTGTTTAGTTGTAAGAACTGTAATCTGTAAGCTAAGTATGCTTAATTTTGGATACTGTGAGACTGAATCAATAAAGTGAATAAGGTTATGCAAATGCATTCGTTTACGTATCATCTTCCTTATACACAGAATGGCAGCAATTTTAAATGTTGCACGAGTGTATAAGTGCCTAGAACTGATAAATATATAGGATGATAAATAAATGAAAGATAACATACACATATATTTCACAAACACATATATATATAAAGAGGAAAATCATTTATAAGTTAATATCTTTCTAGCTGCTCTGCAACTCTTCACGTACTACCTCTATATACGTCTGTTCTCTGCTTTGTATTTATCTAAACGCAACTGGGCAAAGAGCCAGGTCTGTTTTTGAAACACTAAACAGTTATATATATATACATATATACATACACATATGCACGTTTGTGTATATACATTTTTTTATGTTATTTATATACACATACATATATACACACATAAATTTATTTATATATATATAAATACATGTGTGTGTATATATATATATATATATGTATGTATGTGTGTGAGAGAGAGAGAGAGAAAGAGAAAGATTAGGTGACAGAATTTCACTTATATAATGTATCAGTATTTTTTAACAATCAGCTTGTAAATTTTGCCCGCTGATCTGTTCAATGTTTCGAAATAGAACTGGTTCTTTCCCCAGCTGCCTTTGCTTATGTAGTCTCTGCTTGCACATGATGCGTGTATCTTTTTCTACTTATATAACACATTTATTTTAGCAAACTGAGGGATATCACAGAAAGCACAATTTCCAGCAAGAGAACCATGTCATGGTATTCAGTGAAGAACGACCAGAATCATAAGGTTAGTACAATCCATTAGTAACGCGCAAATCTTACTGGGATACTCCGCATTCCATTTCCATGATACCCATAAATTCTAATTAATTAAATACATGACAAAAACTTTACAATGACTTCAATGTAAAGTAAAGTGGGCATGGAGACTTCTGCAATGTGTCCCGATGGCGTCTTAACTATCACGGCACCGAAGATTTCGAAGGGATAAGTGACAGATACCGAGGAGTTAGCGGAAGAAAATCTATGATGCTGTTATTTATAATTTTTGATACTATAGAATGTCTGTTCTTCCTCAAATAATAGTTCGTTTATAAGTTTTGTTTTCCGATTACCTTTCGTTTCCCGCCATATTAGGCACATTTTCCAGCTGCGACATGAAAATGTATAAAAATTAATCTCTGACTATAACTTCTTACATGTAAATTGTGTTTACACGCATTCTTACACGTGTGAATATCTTTGAATATCATATATGAGCGTATGCATTACATGTGCAGAGAAACGCAGAACTGTCCCACACCGTGAAATGCAATAATGAATGCTTCTGTGATATTCACATACAGATAGAATTGTGTATGCGTGTATATGCAGTACTACTTCATCAGAGATTCATATAGTCAGAGATTGGAATTACCAGACAAATGACGTGGAGCGAAAGGTAATCGAAAAAACATAAACGAACATTTATTTGAAAAAGTACAAATATTTTATAGTAACTAAAAGCTAACACACAAAAGATTTATCAATCAAAGATTCACTTCCGCAACTCCTTGGTCTTCATCACTTACTCTGATTCCTTCAAAATCGGAAGACATTCCGGAAGTGACTTATTATCCACTTTGCCCAGGAAGTTGAAACGTCGACAGAAGCTTTTCATGGACTTGAATTCGCCCTTTTCCTTTTCCACTCGACCTTCCACCACCACCTGTCTTCCATTCTGACACGAGTAAAGTTACTCATGAGATCATTCATGGACTTGGTTTCTCCCCACAGATCAAGGATTTCTTCAATAGCTGTCTCAAACTGCTTTCGAATATCTTCAAAGGACGAATCATGGAAGAAATGTTCCTTCGCAGCAATCGGAAGTGATTCCTCAGTGCATTTGCAAACTTCTCAAGCTTCTCCATTTTGTTCGTCGAGATTTTCACTTCGAAACGACAAGAAGTAACAATATTTTAGATATTGCTCTACCTTATTTTATCTCCCTAAGGTGTACTTTTCCGTTATACCTATGAGTTGCTGCCTGCTGTCTGTTATGTGACGTAAATTGGGTGTCTGCCCACTGTCTGGCTACGTTTGTATAAACGGTCTTCGCATGCTTGGCAGTATTTATAGGAACTCACTTGAACCTTCTGGATCTCTTCTGTTTATGAACACAGTTATATAATAATGTATTAATACACACATATATAAATTGTGCACATGTATAAAGACATTGCACACACACACACGCACACGCACACACACATATACATACACGTACACACACGCGCGCGCGCGCGCGTATATATACATACATATCTATGCACACACACACACATACATAGTATACATGCACACACATACACAGTGCACACACACACATACACAGTATACACACACATGCACAGTACACACACAAGAACTGTTTACAAATACATAGAATGTTTACGAAGAGGACATTGCTTCTGGCCGACTGCGTCTGGCTGCGAAATTAGGAAAGCATTTTACGGATCCCTGAAATTTCTTTCCTTTGGTCAATATGCATGGCAATGGATTGGCCTTTATTATGTTAAACGGTTAGTAGTATGGTGCTATTAATCAAGCATGTATATTGAATGATTCCCTTTTCATATTTTTTGATTGATTGATTGATCTAAAATTATCTGTCACGCCAACAGCTAAAAGTCATTAGCGGATATGAAGAAAACCAACACTGGAGAATAAATAAGGTTTGATGATCACATGTATTCATATATAATTTTACAGCATCATTTGCCTATTTGTTACGTATGATTAATCATTAACATTTAGACATGACACATTCCAGAAGTGGTTTATTTCTATAAATCCATCAGGGCGAATAACTATATTTCAATTTCCGCTAAAAATTCCATATGGAAAATTCCAAGAGATTGATCTCAGATTAATGCCAACCACTTTCAGACATTTCAGTATTACAAAGAGCGTGGTACCAATCCAGCGCTGCCGTGCCCCACTAGTCGAAACCTCTCTACAACTATTTGATAATTATGATATATATATGTATATATATTATATATATAGTTTGTATTTTTCATTCATTTTTTAGATTTTATATTTTTTGTTTTGTTTTTCATTATCTATCTTTAATTTATCATTATTATTATCATTACTATTATCATTATTTTGGTGGGGGAGTTTAGTGTTTCAAAAAAGACCTGATTCTTTGCCCAGTTGCCTTTAGATAAATAAAATGCGGAAAACGGACATATCTAGAGGCAGTACGTGAAGAGTTGCAGAGCAACTAGAAAGATATTAACTAATAAATTATATTCCTCTTTATATATATATATATATGCATATATATGTGTGTGAAATATATAAGAGTCGGTTATCTTTCACATTTATTTATTAACCTATATACTTATCAGTTCTAGGCATTTATACACTCGTGCTGTCATGCTGTGTATAAGGATGATACGTAAACGAATGCATTTGCATAACTTTATTCACTTTATTGATTCAGTCTCACAGTATCCAAAATTAAGCATACTTAGCTCACAGATTACAGTCCTTACAACTAAATACATTTACAAAAATATGTTCTTGTTTAAGATTTCTCTGTGACCTTAGGAGCCGTGATAGTCAAGATGCCATCGGAAGACACTGCGGAAGTCACGGCCTATATAGCCACTTTGCCTCGGAAGTTGAAACGTCGCCAGAAGCTTTTCATGGACTTGAAGTCGCCCTCTTCCTTTTCCACTCGACCCTCCACCACCACCTGATTGTCTTCTACTCTGACCTTCATGTCTCCACTCTTGAAGTCATGAACATCCAGTACAACCTGTATATAGAATTAATTCATGATATTTTTTTCTAGTACGTTCCTTTTCATTTAGAATTTTATATTTGTCTTAATAAGCCGTCTGCGTGATCCGGATTATTCTTGAAGAGTAATACTAACGCAAATTACAATTTAATCTAACTAACCTTGTGATGCTGATCGTCTTCGCTGAAGGCCATGACTTGGTTCTCCTGCTGCAAATTACGCTCTCTTACACGTGTGAAGCTACTCATGAGATCACTCACGGATTTGGCTTCTCCCCACGTATCCAGGATTTGGTTGATGGCTGTCTCAAAGTGCTTCCGAGTGGTTTTCAAAACTTGCAACTAAAGATTTCATGCTAGATAAGGAAATGCTGCATGAATGTGTGATGATCCTGCATTTATAGCAATACAAATAACCAGTGTCGATTAATTCACCTTGCATTTTTACTTCGTTAATGACATCAACAATAACATCACTTAAACCTAAACGAGAACTTTCAAGAGATTTCGTAACAGATGTCAAACATACCACAAACGTTTATCCAAATGTAAACAGAAAGTGGGCACGCATTCAACACACGCTACATAACAGAGTCAACAGCCAGCTCCTGCTACGGGACGGATACACGTGTCCTTGGGACACGTGTAGAGAGCAACCTGCAGCATTTTTACATTTACATAGGATCCCACTTCATATGATTGACAAACGCTAGGAGCAAAATGGAGAACAAAAATAATGTGAAAATGGATACTACCGAACACATTTCTCATGTGATCCTAACAACTAACCTGTAATGCTTTTAAACGTACATGCCTCCTAAAAGGGTTATTAAAGGTTATGTCTTATGTTGTACATGAAGCGCTCGATAGACCAATATTAGTTTTTAATAGTTTTTTTGAAAAAGAATCATGAAAGCATAGGTCACAAATAGTGAACCCTCTTTGCATTTGGCACTCGCACCTTTTCTTCGCGAGTTTCGATGAACCCTCTGTTATGCAATTCATGCGACAGACGACAGGAAGGCAAGTAAAGTCATACACACATGTAAACAATTATAATTTATTTTAAAAATAGCAAAGGTTTTATTCATTTTAACATTATCCTAAAGAAAAATATA